TGACTCTTCTGGAAAGGTACCAGGGACAAAGCCACCCTTCCCCGGGGTTGGTGGTAGCAGAGACAAAGTATGGAAGGAAGGGGCCAGAGAGAGAAGGGTGTGGCTGATGCTGCTGGGAAGGGTGTAGCCAGGGAGACCTATGGCGTGGGAGGGACATCGAGGAGGTCACTGTCAGAGTTCCAAGGACCGGCTGTGTTGTCCTGTCTATCCATGAGGGAGTAGCAGGAGCCAAGTGAGAGGCCCAAAGCCAGTCTTTTCTCTATGAACATCCTAGTGGGGAAAGTTTGTAGGAAATGAAGTTTCCAGAAGCCCTACAACCTTGTGTAGTCAATCACAAACTTTCCAGGGTGGTCCTGTTCTGACAGCTAGAACTGGCTGACCAGGGTTTTAGCTTATCCTCAGTGACCCACCAGCTGGACCATCTTTAAACTAAACCTTTTATTTTATGCACACGTGCACGCGCATGCACATGCGAGCACACACACACACACACACACACACACACACACACACGACCGCATGCACCACCTCCAGCCCAAGCCCTATCTCCTTTTTCACACAAAAAAAGGGAATTACATCTTTATCTTTATTTCTTTATTGCATGTTCATGTATGGAAGTGTAGACTATGTGCCTTGGTTCCTCCTCCTTGGGGATCTTCCCCTTCAATCAAGATTGGAACGCACGTCCTCAGGCTTGTTGGCAAGCACCTTTACCTCCTGAGCCAACTCTTGGGCCCTGGTTTCTCTTTTTAAAAACTTCCCCCTTAGTCCTCCGGAGCAGGATGTAAGGAACATGTCTGCCAGGAGACCTCTGTCTAAGCAGAGAGACCAACAAGGCTCAGTAACCTGAAGCTTGAACTGAAGTAACACACTGGGCAGGGACTGTCCTCTCGTGCACACCAGGCCTCCTGTCCTGGAATACTAATGTACTGGTGGTGAATGTGACCAAAATAAAGAGGAAGGCTGGAGGAGAAACTTAAAAAGTAAGGTTTTCGGGAATGGAACTGCCACTAACCCTGCTTCGTGGAATAATTGTCAAATTGTCAAATGTGTGCATAAACACATGAATAAGATAAATTTATTTCCATTATTCACCTTCTATGCTCGTTCCTTTATTTATGTTTTAAACAACGGTTACAGTAAACATAGCCATTTTTAATGGGGGGGGAGCCTGTTGGGGGCTGGGAGAGGATGGGGGAAACCACCGCACACCCAAATCCTGCTTCTTCCTTACAGTAGATAAGAGAAACCTTAACTGGAGCTGTGCTCCCTTCTCATGAGAGTGATAAGTGCTGGTTTATTGCGAAATGTCACAAAATCAGAATGCCATACAACGAGACGTGAGTGGGTGGGAAATGCTTCCCTGTCTCCCTACCCCAACTACTCAGACCCACTACTCAGGGTTCCAGGGGTTCCCCTCCTAAGCCCAGTTCAACTGCCTCCTCAGCACACTGACGGAAATCAGCCAAGGCGACCTGTCTAGCAAAGCCTGGTCCTCGAGGTCCCAGATTCCGATGATGCTGGTGCCACGTCTGACCACCAAGACTGTAGCTGTGTGAGTCACCGGCCTCCAGGAGTGGGATCCAGAGAAACTCGGTTGCCAAAGCAACAAGGATGCTAATGCATGGGGGAATGAAGCTCACGAGGCCCAGGGACCTCAAGAAGCACTGAGATAGGTTAGAGTTGGACCGACTGAAGTCTGCGTCATGCCACACACTTGAACTGCAGTACAGGGGAGCCCTGAGAGAGGCTACTGGCTTTAGGGGCACTGATCCCCACTCCTCCACCAGTGGGGAAGATCGCACAAAAACTTACCCTTTATTATCTGTGTCCTCGTTCATCTTCCCTCCGAACTCTTTTTCGTTCTTAGGCGAGGCTCAGCCGTGTGGCTTGTGTTGTCCAATCAGAATTGAGCATTGTGTACAAGCGGTTCCGTGGTTGCTGTTGGAGGGTGCACAGACCAGGAGGGTGACAGTTCTACTTGACTCGGGTTTAGGAAAAGAAGACAGAAGAAAGTGTCATTATTTTTACTTTTTTTGTTTAGATCATGTTTTGATGTGTAGCCTGGCGGCCTGGAGCTCACTAGATAGGACCAGGCTAGCCTTAAAGTTACAGAGATTGCCTCTGCCCTCCAAATCCTAGGGTTAAAGGCACACGCCATCATGACCAGTAGAAGTTTCCTTTTTCCCCACTTTTTTCTACTCCCTCATCCTTCTAGGCCTTTCAGGAGATGAGGTGTGTTGATAGCAGGAGAGGTGACAGAGACAATGCCATTTTGTAAGCGTACATCTTCATGAGGTGCACTGTGGGCAGCAGACAATCTGTAGAGTCAGCATTCAGAACTGACTCCCCTGGGGAAGGAGTGGGGTCTCCACCAAGTGGGGTATCTGGAAGTCCCACCCCCTAAATACGAGCCGCAGTCCATTCAGGATCACTTCTGCCTCTTGGGCACCTGCCTAGACCCCAGGCCACCCCCATCCTCTAGTGCTAGGCTGGTTCTCAGCCTTGTGGGGCTGGGGACCCCATGAGTACCTCTCAAAGCAAGTCATGACAGTATTGACTTTGTTTTAGTAGAAGTAGTGAATGTGGAGGAATCTCGATGTTTCTGCTCTGGGGCTCCACCGCCTCTCCCTACATTCTTCTCAGCAGTGGGAGGACACGCTCAGATCCTATATCCACACATCAACCAAACTCTCATCAATGGAGGGGGGCGGGGCGTGCGTCCGTAGTAAAGACTCAGCAATGTTGTGTGCCGCTTCTTCTCCCAGCATTTGTTCTCACTGGCTATTACTACAAGACCTGTTCGTTGCTTTTCTGTTGCTGTGATAAAACGCCACGACAAAAAGCATGGTGGGCGTGGCACCAAGCAGCAGGCAGGATGGCAGGAGTGGGAGGCTGAGAGATCACAGCTTCAACTACACGCAGAAAGCGGAGAACGAGAACTGGGGCAAGGCCACAGACGCTCAAAAGTTCACCACCCCGGCCCCGCCCCGGCCCCGCCCCGGCCCCGCCCCGGCCCCGCCCCGGCCCCGCCCCGGCCCCGCCCCGGCCCCGCCCCCTGACGCACTTCCTCCAGCAAGGCTCCTTGTCCTAAACGTTCCATGACTTCCCTGAAAGTACAACCAACTGGAGACTAAGCGTCCCAACGCAGGTGCCTGTACTGCCGTGTAAGAAATCTGGAGGTGGGGCTGGGCGTCCCAACGCAGGTGCCTGTACTGCCCTGTAAGAAATCTGGAGGTGGGGCTGGGCAGGGGCTCACCTGGCAGCAGCATGTGCTGTTCTTGCAGAGAACCCAGGTTCAATTTCCAGCACCCACATCAGGGAGCTCACAGCCCTCGATAGCAACAGGTCCTAGGGATCCCACACCCTCTTCTGGGTCTCTGTGGGCACTCCACACCTACGGTGCGTATACAAACATGCGCATGCATGCACATATAAAACAAAATAAGAGGGCGTCTGGAGGTGACTGAAACCTCACTGAAGGTTTGCAAAGAACCTTTGTAAGTACCACAATGTTACACAAGGGGCTTGAATACCCACGGATTCCCGTAGCCACTCAAGACTTGGAGGCAGTCTCCCAGTACCAAGGGCCACTGTGCTGTCCAGAGTCTGTCCCATAAACATTACTGAGCTACCGCCCGTCCCTCGGGCTTCTGGTGTCCCCCATCAGATCCTTCCACACTCCTCTGGCCTATTTCCTAGGTAAGCTGACAAGAGGGCAGAGTGACCCTTGGTGGCTAGTTCTCCTGTCACTTGAAGAAGTGTTAGTGTATTCGGCAGCTCGTATTCTTTTTTTTAAGTTAATATTTTTGAACTATTTGACTTAAAAGCAGGGGGAAGCAGACACGAGCCTGTGCTGAATACATGCACACAATGGAAAGTTCAAAAGAGGAACCTGTAAAAGCAGTAAAGGGGGTTTGTCTGCCCCCTCCCCCACCCCTGCGGGACACCATCCCACCGCAGTCCAATGGCCAAAACCAAGAAATCAATGTTGACAAGTATTATTCACCACATCTCAGGTCGTCTTTGAACCCCGCCACCTCTTACTCGTTTTCTTTGCTCTTCTAGGATCAAATTTAGGGTTTCAGGTTGGATTTAGTGGCCACAGCTGCTTTGTCATTGTCATTATCATTTCCCTGTGCTGTGTTTTGTTTCTATTTTGTGTGTGGGGGTGTGTGGCGGCCAAAGGAGAGCGCTGAGCTCCCTACTCTACCATTTTCTTCCTTGTTCCCCTGAGACAGGGTCTTTCACAGAACCCAGGCTCAGCCAGACACCAGCAAGCCCCCTGCAATCCACCTGTCTCCAGCCCGCAACTCTGGAGTCACAGGCATGCACAGCTACATCAGCTTTCTGCACGGGTGCTGGGTGCCAGATCAGCTTTCTGCACGGGTGCTGGGGTGCCAGATCAGCTTTCTGCACGGGTGCTGGGTGCCAGATTAGTCCTCCTGCTTGCGCAGCAGACACCCTTACACACTGGGTCATTTCTTCAGCCCCTTCCCCGTCGTTTAGGACACTGAGCCTCTGACAAGTACAGGTCAGTTATTTTGTGAGCTGTCTCCCACTTCGGGCTTGTCTAATGTCTTCCGATCTCTGGGTTGACGTTAGCTGTCGCGCAAAGGATCACCTGCAGTGCTGCTATTCCTAGAGACAGGACACCAGCAGACTGTGGTGGTTTGAAAGAAAATCACCCCCAAAGGGAGTGGCACTATTAGGAGGGGTGGCCTCATTGGAGTATATGTGGTCTTGTTAGAGGAAATGTGCCACCGTGGAGGAGGATTTTGGGGTCTCTTATATGCTCAAGATACCACCGCGTGTCTCAGACCACTTCCTGTTGCCTTCTGATCAAGACGTAGCCAGCACCATGTCTGCCTGTACTGCCATATTCCCAGACACCATGCTCCCTGCCATGATGGAAATGAACTAAACCTCTGAAACTGTAAAAGCTTCCACCTCAACTAAGCGTTGGCCTTTATAAGAGCTGCCGTGGTATCAGGGCTGGAGAGATGGCTCAGAGGTTAAGGCCACTGACTGAGGTCCTGAGTTCAATTCCCAGCAGCAACGTGGTGGCTCACAACCATCTGTAATGAGACTTGACGCCCTCTTCTGGCATGCAGGCATGCATGCCGGCAAACACTGCTGGCAGAACACTGCCGACAAAACATTGTATACATAATAAATAAATAAATCTTTAAAAAAAAAAAGAGCTGCCATGGTCATGGTGTCTCTTCACAGCGACAGAAACCCTATGGTGCCACCTATGTTGCTGACCCAGGGAGTCAGTTTTTAGGGTTATTTAAAGGCATCTTCATGACTTCAAAGTCCCATTCCAGGATGGACAAAAGCCCACAGAGGCTTGGTTCCTGGAGTCAACCTTCCATGTCCTTACATCCACCCACCCAAGTCTCTACCCAGCTGCTGCAGGATTAGCTAAAGCCCAGGGAGGGACAGAGAGAGTGGTGGCTGGAACCTTAGATGAAGGTCTGATGACCTTATTTCTGTGAGGGAACCTTAATGGCCTCCATCTTGTGAGGGTCTCCTGTGGGTCACCACAAGCACTCTGATTCGAGATGGCAACAGCCGTGTCATGCCCTGAGGACAGAGTTCCCACTACAACACCATAGCAACGTGCGCCCTTCTCAGGAGTTTCATGACATTGACATGTCTTATTACTGGTGAAGTTCCCTTTGATCACATGCTTTAAGTGGTGTCTGGTGACTTCTGTTAAAATGTGAGGTGCACAACTCCTCCAGCCTTTGACTCCGTAGTGTTAGGCAAAATACCATGAAGCAGGAGGAAGCCATTCAGCACCCGTCTAGCTGTGTGATTTTGTAATATGACTTTTATCTAGACAATGGTTTTTTCACTTGGTGAAGGAGATTAATATCAAGCACCTTTCCAGGCTGCTGCACAAGACAGTGAGAGCTAGGCAAGCCAACAGAAAGCATCACAAGTGGAAAATTCTGTCCAGGAAGATGGCTTAGTGATAAACCACCAGCCTGAGGACCTTAGTGCAGATCCCCAGAGCCCATGCCAGGTCAGCAGTGCACATCTGTAATCCCAGTGTTTCCATAGCAGTGCACATCTGCAATCCCAGTGTTTCCATGACAGGTCAGCAGTGCACATCTGCAATCCCAGTGTTTCCATGACAGGTCAGCAGTGCACATCTGCAATCCCAGTGTTCCCATGACAGGTCAGCAGTGCACATCTGTAATTCCAGTGTTTCCATACATGTCAGCAGTGCACATCTGCAATCCCAAAGTTTCAGTAGTTTCAGTGGTGTGACAGAAGGTACAGACAGTGACTAGAGAGATAGCTCAGAGGTTAGGAGCACTGGCTGCTCTTCCAGAGGCCCTGAGTTCAATTCCCAGCAACCACATGGTAGCTCACAACCATTTGTAATGAGATCTGGTGTCCTCTTCTGGCCTGCAGGGATACATACAGGCAGAACACTGTATACATAATAAATAAATAAATCATTTAAAGAAGGTGCTAACAGGAGAATCCCTGGAAGCTTATGAGTGGGCTCACCTGGTACGGGAAACACCAAACAAGAAAGAAACCCTGCCTCAAACAAGGTTGTCCTCTGACCACACCCTATCATGTGCCCTCCCACATACACACAATGTGCACACACACACACAATGTATACATCACACCATACACTCCTGCACACACAGACACACAAAGAGTTTTTAAGTGGATAACTATAAAGACATCTTCAGCAATTTATATACACAATGTACACATGCACACACTCCATGCAAACATGCACACACCATGCCCGCTGATCAACCGCTTATGGAGATGAAACCTGGGAACTTGGAGATGTAAGTGACTGTCCCGGTCAAATAACTCTGGTGTCAGAATCGATGATGACTCACCAGTCACAACACATCACTGTGGTTCCCCAAGGTGCACATCTGTAATCTCAGTGCTCCTATGCAGGTCAGCAGTGCACATCGGTAATCCTAGACTGTCACTTTGCTATCAGTCATCTTTCTTAGGTCTAGAAAGGTAGAACCACAGGACATACAGTAAAGTATGCATTTCCTGGAGTTAGGAAGCATCACTATACCAATCACACACACACACACACACACACACACACACACACACACACACACAGGCACACACATACATCCAGATCTTAGCTGGATCCTTCAGGCAAGTGGCTGGAGATGATCTCCTCCTTTCTTTCCCAAGGACCTTATTCATTAAGTTGATGTGAGGATTATAGACAGATATCTAATGGATGGATGGATGGATGGATGGGGGCTGGAGAGATGACTCGGCAGTTTAGAGCACTGGATGCTCTTGCAGAGGACACACGCTCAGTCTCAGGTACCCACATGGTGGCTCACAACCATCTGAAACTCCAGTTCCAGGAGATTCAAAGTCCTCTTCTGGCCTCCGTAGGCACTTGATGTGTGCGGCGGCTCGCTTTCACATCTCGGTGGAACCTCCAATTGCGGCGCCCGTGCCACAAGCAACTCCGAGGTATCAGGAAAAGAAAGACCAGATGTCCAGCTGTTTGTACTAAGAAGTGACTTTATTTTTGCAAGTGCTAAGAGGTCTCTCTCGTAGGAGGGAGCAGTCATATATATAGTCTTACAACACAGTAGAAAAACCCCAGGTGGAAGAGAGCCTGTTTTCCTCCTGCTAGATGTTGATGTCAGTGGGGCAATGCAGGGGCAGTAAGCCAGGACTAGAAAACAGGATGCACCTGTGGCTATCAGCTGACAAACAACTCAGAGGCCCTGTGGGGGCTAGGCCCCAACAGGTGTGGTGCTCACAGCATGCAGGCAAGATAAGTGTGTGCATGAACTAAATGAAAACTCCTGGCACATCGAGGAGCATGAAGGGAGCAAACAACATTTGTGATTAGCTGTAATCACCACCAGCTCACCCAACAAGTACTTATGAGACACTCGCCATGCACCAC